TCGGCCGGGGCCGCGGGACCCGGAGGTCAGGAAACTCGGCCCAGCTCGGGGGGCGGGGGCCGCGGGGAGGCAGGAAGGCGCGCCCGCGGGGACCCGAGCTCAGCGCGTGTGAAACTTTTCCTACGGGTCGCCAGCCAAGAGGAGCAGGAGTCGGAGACTGGACCGTGTCTGGGGGTGAGTGTTGGGGTTTCCCGACGACCTGGGGGTCCCGGTGGTGGGAGGGAGGAAGTGGGGGCTCTAGGGAAACTCGGGCAGATGCCTGGAATCGGTCTCCGCGCGCATTTACCGTCAACCTGCGGAGGTGTCCTGGAGCCCACCCCCTTACCCCGTCTCAAACGCCATCGCCCTCACTCGTCCCTAATATAACCCCGGCTTTTCCAAGGCTGACTCAGGCCTGGCTGGGAAGGAAGTCTCCCCCATGCTTGGCGGTGGGGGGAGACCGAGGCCCCCTGGGACTCTGGCACCTCTGTCCTCACCCTGCCCTCCTCCCAGGATAGGGCAGGATCAGGAGTGGAGGGCTCACTGTATGCTCTGGCCATTACTATTACTGTTGTCTCCTTGAAATTGTTAAGGGCACCGATTGGGAGGGTCTGGGCAGGAATAGCACCTGGAGCCTCACCTGGGGCTTATTACTGTTGCTTGAAGGAACTGCTGCTGAGCTTCAGCCTCTTCCATTGCCTCCCCCCCCTGCCAGGCCCTGGGCCACATTTAGACCTGAGGATGCCAGTTGCCAGTTCACTGCTTCCCCTGGGGTTCAGATCCTTGCTCAGCCAGTGCCTAGCTGTGGAGCTTGAGCAGGTTGCTCTTGGCCTCTAGACCTATGCCTCTGAGAGAGGACAATCACCCAGCTCCCATGAGGATGCACAAGGTGTTCAGCAGGCAGAAGCTTTGATGATTAGGGTACTACTGGGGGACCTCCAGTGAGTGACTTTAGGTCTCTGAGCCTCACTTTCCCTAGGATGTCAAGTGAGGGTGTGGATGAAAGTGCTGAAGGTGAAAATAATAAATAAGCCATACAGCTATTAAGTGGCATCTTATCTTAAGGGGCTCAAGAGATGCTCTGCTCCAGGCCAGAGCTTGGGGAATTCAGATAAGCCAGCTTGGCTCCAGGAGGTAAGATGCCACTGGGTGCCCATGGAACTTCAGCCATCACCATGACTATATGAATAATAACTATTATTAGTATTATTACAATCATCATTAAGCTCCCAACCAGTTTTGCCTCTGGACTAGACTTTTTTCTCATGGCCACTTTTCAGATGGGGAAACCGAGGATCCCCCACCCCACCCAGGCCAGGGCCTCTTGTCCAGATCTGGGATTTGGGGCTCAGGGAAAGCTGGTCAGATTTGGAGCTAGCCCTGGGGCCATCACTTCCTCCCCAGCTGCTGCCACATCTGTCCGGGCTGAGGTGTGGCCTCCGTGTCAAGGAGCTAGGCTCCCACCTGGCCTATGAGTGGCTGATGTTTACCAAGCCCTGCCTAACACCTGTTCCTTTTCCCTTATCCCGAGGGTGTGGTGACCCTAAGGGTGTGGAGAAACCAAGAAGGGGCTCAGATTCTCTGCTCCAGGTGAGAATTTTGGGGAATCCAGATAAATCAGTTTGGCCCCAGGAGATAAATGCCACTGGGTGACTTCCTGCCACTGCCTCTGAGGCCCAGGTTGGAGCAGTGACATGCCCCACTCTCACCTCCTTGTAAACCAGAGAGGATGCCCATTGTCATCCCCACTGTTGGGAGTCTGGCTGGGCTTGATGGCCCCCCCCCCCCATAATGGAGAGC